TTTTAAACATTTTTATTTTCAAAAATAACTTGAGAATTTACACTATATAAAAAATGCTGAATTGAAAACACTTTCTATGACAACTGTGCTTTCATATCTGCTACTCTGGCCTTAAATTAGAAATTCACTTTCACTTCTTTAGTATATAATCCTGTATAGGTGAGATGTGCCAATATGTAACAATCCAAAATGATTCCTAATTTATTGTGATTAAATACAATAAATATTTATTTTATTTAAAAATATATTTGTTTCTGCTGCCCAAAACCATATTCACGAGGTAGTACATTTACTACTAGACTATTTGAATGCATATTGTAAGTCAAATTATAATGTTGAAAATTGACATTCCATGGAGAAAGATGTTACTTTTCATTGTGGGCTTGACATTGACACTGAGAGCATTTTATGTCAGAAGGCTTTAAAGAAACCTAGGGCTCTGTAGGATCTTAATCCTTTTCTGAGTATAAGGTGCACATATCAGATATAACCTTTGTGTCTGCAGAACTTGAAATGGTAATTTTGGCAGTCAAGGTAAAAAGGTGACATATAGAAATGGGTAAGATAAAGAATACAAAACAAGTAAAACACATTGCCTAATGTTTTAACCCAAGTTCATCTTTCCATAACACTTTAATTTTTATTGAAAGGTGTACATAAGAAATGAATAAATAACTACACATGTAAACTACACAGAAATACACGTGAACCACAAGAATCATGCTCATAAATATACTTGGTTGCATATGGTTTCTATTGACTTGTCTTCCGTGCTTTAAGGAATTTTTTCCACAACATATCTGTTTTTCATCATTCTTTCACAGCATGCTGTGAATGGTCAACAGTGGACCTAAGGACTCAAACATCCTGAAATCATTTTCCTCATGTACACATGTGGAAGAGTGTGTCCTTATCTTTACAGGGGGGATACACTCATATCTCATCAACCAGGACACAGTACAAAAATATGGGATAGATTTAATATGCTACACCTTAGGCCATCTAGTAGTCATATAAGGTAACAGAAACACTACATAAAAAATCCAGGGATTGGCAGGAGTATTTCTGCCACCACGGCTAAGGGAACATGTTTTCTCTTTCATCCAATGTGAATTACTACACTGCTTTAAGGAGGTAACCCTGGCACTTTAGATGACTTATCCTAAAACAATACTTATAAAGTTAATCGTACTCTATTATTTTATGTTTTTCTATATTCAAACCATGTCACCTATTCCTACATTTTTAGTCCTTAGTCCAAAACTATTTCTCCTTTCTCACTATTACATTCATGAGAATTATATATCTTCCTTGTTTCATTCCCATTACTAGGGTACAATCCGCATTTTACTGTACATATCAATATAATTATAAAGTTACAAACTTGCTTGATTACCTAAAGCAGTGGTTCCCAACAAAATCCATAAGGTACTATGAACTCGCTTCCCATTTTGTTTCCACTTTTTACTGACCAACTGCTATTGCTTGTCACTTTTGTAAGCGAGTAGTGACAGTTTACTCATGACAAAATTTTACCAGTAGCCACGAGGAGTTACCAACTATGCTGAAAGCCAGTTGCTAACAACTACCATTATGTTCCGTGGGAGCTATTAACCACTGCTTAGCGAGTGAATTTCATATGGATTATCGAACCTGACGCTACTTATTACCAGCAGCGACTAACCCTCTGGTTCAAACAAGTTAAATAAAACGGAATCATTATACATCTTTACTTTGAAAACCTAAAACACACATCAAAGTTTATTGATATACTCTTCTAGGGATAATGACAAAACCTGAACTATTGGTGTTCCCCAAGGAACAACTGTTCTAAAGCATTAACTATTAAGGATTCAGAGTGAATTCAAATTAAAGTTCAAAATTTAGGACAGGATAGACAAAGTGAAAATATGGCTGGCTTGGAGAATTTTTTTTAATTCATTAATTTTGGACAAAAATTTGAAATATACTTTGAACTCCCAACAATTCCTTTTACAAAAAAAAAAATACCAGCCCTTTTTATTTTCATAAAAGCAATTATTTAAAATCAAAACAATATGGCATTTTCTGGGTGAGCACTTGCTTCAAGTTTGGAAAGTTCATGGTGTGTTCACTTGAATGGTTTTGTAAGCTGTCTTTTCACGGTGTAGATATGCTTTGGCACCAAAACATTAATAAATATGGGTTGGAATGTAAAATAAGTACTTTGAAGAAGTTATGAAGAAGGTAGCATAGTATAATGAACAACCATTTATTTAAACATGTTTTACACATAGGCTATTCTCAGAAATAATGTGCTTCTGAAATATGGTGGTATTCAATTTACATACAAGAGAATATAAAATGTACCCTGTTGCACGTTAGTATAGTCCAGAATACACATAATGAAGCTTTGCTAATAATATCAAAACAATTTCCAATTATAACAAATGATGAAGCTCGTGGAAGATTACACATACACTTAGAGCAGAATCCCACCAGTTTTTAATGAAAAATAAATTAATTAATAATGAAAAGAAAATTACTGGCAATGGTGAGGACTACTGAGATTTTCATTCCTGCAGTATAACGTAACATCTTTTTCTTAAAGGGATTCTATAGTGCTAGGAATACAAACATGTATTCCTAGCACTATGGCTCCCTATGACCACCACACTTTAAGGGTTAATAAACCCTTACTGAACTCACCCAATTCCAAAGCTGACATCACCCAAAGGGGTGGGCAGGAGGGGAGGCGCTAATGTGAGGCAAGCGCATTAGGCCCTCCTCATAGGAAAGCATTGCTGCAATGCTTTCAGATGGGGATTTTACTGAAGCTAGATGTCCTCATGGAGAGCATGAGGATGTCCAGTGCCAATTAGGCGCGACCACTAGAAGCAGTCTTACTCCTGCCCTGTGAAAAACTGCAATAATTAACACTGCAGGAAAAAGGGAACTGCACACAGACCACTTCAATGAGATGAAGTAGTCTGGGTGCCTTTAATAACAGGTGGGTGGGTCAGGGGTGGAGTAGTTAGGTTTAAGTGGGCAGAGTCAAAGTTCAGGAGGTGGTGCTTACAGGAATTGAGGAGGGGCCAGATTCCAGGGATTTGATCTACCACCAAACCACTTTAAATTTGCACCAGCTGCCACTGCATGAAAGGACAATCTAAGCGAGTGCCACACTGATAAACTCATCAAGGTGAAACAGTTTCTGTGGCTAAGCATGAGATTGATTTAGATATCTATTGGATGAGCAGCTGTTTCTCAAACAGGCTGTAGAAAATTATAGACATATGAGCCGCAACTTTACACTACTATTTAGAGAAAGGCGGATTTCGCAGTTAGTAAATATGCCTTGTGTTATAATCTGTTAGAAATTAGTCAATTTGAAATCTAAATTAAATTAGAGAGTTTGCATCATTTTGAACAAAAGCATTTCTGTTGAAGTTCACATTGATCCTTTCGGATATAACTTTACCAGGATGTCCTGTTTAGCATTTTTTCTATCGTTATCTACTTTAAAAAAACAAATTTGAAAACGACACAACCTATCTATTTGAACAGTAATTATTTATGTATAGATTCCATGGTAACACACCCATTGGTGACTATGTAAATTTGTGCTTGCCAACCGAGACAAATGTTATAATTGATGTTCTCTTTGTTGTAGCATTAGCATTGGCTATAGAAATTATTCAGCTCCTTGTAACACTTACTTCTTTCTGACTTGTTACAAAGGGCAGGAACCAGGACTATTAGGAGAAACTAGATCTCTCTAATCACTAAGTGAGAGTATGACAATTATTCATTACCATTTAATCAAAGGGTTTGTGTTGCAGACAGCAGATGAAAAGAATGCCGGGGAAGGGGTCCATGTTTTCATAAAAATTAATTTCACCCTTTTTAGAATGTTGGCCTCAGGCCTAGAAGCAAATTACAGCCCTTTAGAAGAGGGCACATGCAAGATTGCTTCCAATTACTATTCTGCCAATATTTACTTAGTGTCATGTACAAAATCACTGTCTTTTGTCCTCACCTCCTTCACTACTGAAAAGCATCATAACATTAGAGACAGGCACATGGTAGTACAAAGATGCACGTCCAACGACTGTTGCTCAGAAATGGGTAATGAACCTTGAGAATTTTGTTTAAAAATAAATAACACAGGCACATTTAATGCAGTGATCACAATGACAGTATGTAAAATGGCATGCTACCTTTACATTTGTAGTTGTGAAATAATATATCAAAGCAATACACATACATTATAGCTATAGTCTGAATGCAGGAACAAAATAAAGTAAAATGATTTTGAAACACTAACTGATCAGTACCCTTCCTATTGGACCCAAAGTGTGAAGGCAAGAGAAAGAATATGTTAAAATTAAAAGCAGACCAAAATAATTTTTGGAAATATAGATTTTAGGGTTACATATAAAAAAATATATGCAATAGGCCTCAATTAAATTATATTGGCCGAAAACAGTGTATAATTGTTAACTTTTGTCAGACAGTTTTTTAATTGAATTCAGTTAAAATTCAAGAAGCTGGACTTGATAAACGGGTTAGCTTCTTGATATAAAACTGCTATTAGATGTGCACCGGAAGCACATTTATCAGCATTTTTAATGATTAACCCTGTTGCAAACTCATTCTGTGCGAAGACAAACATACAAAATTAAGTTCTGCGGTCAAACTCTGACTACTGCTGGAGGCAGCAATGACTATTATTGTTAGTGTAGGACTCACCCAATAGGTTTTGCCTTGATGTGGCAGGTGAGCTTACACTTTAGAGTATACTACAAAAACCTTTTTATTTCAATGTCCATAGGGATTTGGGATAGTGCACAAATAACTTTGTTTCTTTCATTCTTCATGGAGCCCTCCACGTGTGAAGATTAGTGATGTCCCGAACGGTTCGCCGAACGTTTTGCCGAACGTTTCGCGAATGGTTCACCACGAGCGGTTCGCCACGGACTCATCATTGAGTAAACTTTGACCCTGTACCTCACAGTCAGCAGACACATTCCAGACAATCAGCAGCAGACCCTCCCTCCCAGACCCTCCCACCTCCTGGACAGCTCACTAAGAATGCAGCTTCACAATGAATGTAAAATGGATGCTGTCCAGGAGGTGGGAGGGTCTGGGAGGGAGTGTCTGCTGCCGATTGGCTGGAATGTGTCTGCTGACTGTGAGGTACAGGGTCAAAGTTTACTCAATGATGAGTCCGCGGCGAACCGTTCGTGGCGAACCGTTCGCGAACCGTTCAGCAAACCGTTCGGGAAATCACTAGTGAAAATGCATTAATGTATCTGCATTACCATATTTTTATCTTTTTTTCTAATAGTAGTATCAGTAATTAATTTGGCCTTTTGTTGGGCTGTAGAAAATAAGACAGAAAAAGAAAGAAGACATCTAATGGTAAGTATAACATTTTATTTACAGGTATTAGATTTGTAACTTCTCTTTCACTGAGGGGGTATGCAGTATTATTTTTAATTTAGGTGCTGACTAGGAGCTTGGGGTGGTCTAGCAAACCCAGGGAAATCAGGGGGACCAGTCCACAATTGTGGAGGGCTAGACAATGATATATTTACCCCCATTCTGTGTTTTATTATCAGCCCATACCTGCCACCCCTGTGTGGGAGGTGTGGGGGACACTTGGTCCACCTTAAATATTTATTAAAAGCACCCACCCACTGGCTGCGGCACACCTTAGGTCCCCCATTCAATATTTATTAATAGTTCCCATATGCCACCCATTTGTGGAGGGCTGGAGGAGACACCATGTTTATTTTAATTATAACCACCTCTCTCTGTAGTCTCTGTATGGGGTTGGGGGGTATTTATTTTATGAAACTCCCTTCCCACTACCTATGGATGGGGATGAAGGGGACAGTGGGTCCCTCCATTTACTTATTAGCAGCCTACAGCTACCACTCATAGGTAGGGGATGCGAATCAAATAGAATGTCCCTAATGGGTTTTGTAGTTAATAGTACCCCCACCAGCTGGCCACATGTGTGGGCAGGTGGGTGGAGAGTTACCTGTCCACCCTCTTTTATTTAATGTTATGCTCATGCACAATGACAATGGGTAAGGGCACAGGGGGGCTTGTGTCCATTTCCCTCTGCATTTTAGTAGTCACTGCCTCGTCACTAGTTTACAATTACAGTGCACAGATGCTGGCTGCTCACTGTTTAGCAGACAGCATTGTTGGGGAATATGGGGTGTAGTAAACCTTCTCTATGGTAATGTTAGGGGGTCATATTGACCCCTGAGGCGCCTTTTGAACTATTTGCCTACAGGACTTAAGTTGTTGAATCTGAGGCCATTTATCGGGCATTATGGGCCTAATGACTGGAATTAACCCCTTAAGGAAGTAGGTAATTGTACAAGTTCTGAACTGTTCAACCATAATTTACCTATTTCGTATTGAGTGCACCCACACTTATTATATATCACTTTGTTCAGGTATTTATTTTATCATTTATATATGAAATATGATTTAAAAGGAATAAAATCTAAAAAAAAAAAAAAAGTGTGAGATATTAAGAATGCGTGTTATTTTCCAATTTCTGCATGGCATTAGTGTAGAGGACTCAGGGTAACCCGATTGATTATCTCTGCTATTTTCCCTCTTCGGCAGACTGGAATTGTTGTGTGATTATGCTCTATTCCCCCACAGCAACCAGCCGAGACATAGTTCTGGTTTATTCAGGCCAAACACTTGCAATTTTTACACAGACCCCCAGCAGGGGTTCTCCATACAGAAACATAGCAAGCCACTCACTAGCGTCCATGTGTCTGGGAGATAATTGAATCAAAAGCTGTAACTCAATGATCTCTCAGTTACAGGGAAACATGCATATTTTTTATAAAAAACACTCCAAAAGTATCCCAAATATTAACAGGAACCCCACAAGTGTCATATCACCGAATAGCCCTGACCTGAGCGCCCAAGTTGGCCAAATAGGGCTCAGATCTGTTTGGTAGAATGGAATCGCCACCGGGGTAAAGTTCTGACCGGCCTGCCACGAAGTGAAAGCCCAAAACAGTTCCAGAGAATTGGTAGCAAAGGTTTGTGTCTCTGTTCGTGGGTTTCTGTGCAAACACCATACAATATAATTACTTGCTTTCAGGGAGCGAATGCTCGCCCCAATCGGTACATCCTATCACTCGAATGCCATTCGTGTAGTTGGTCGGGAAGTGGGACGGGCAGCAGTATCAACTTTGCCAGGGTTCGTGCAAGTGCATAGCCGAAAACAATTCCAGACACTCGACGACCAAGTACCGCTTCCTGCATTCAGGACAAAATGGCCGCCATTCTTTTGTTGACCAGGGGAAGCACTCATTAGTTATTTCCTTGCACGTTGGATACTTGTAACTCCAATGATCTAATGGGTCATTCTAAGGTTCTAATGAGTTGTTTGGTGGTCCCCGTTCAGGAGTCAAATGGAGAGTGTTCGGTTCCAACAGCTCCCAAACGTACGGGAATTAAGCAATTTGAATAGGATGGTAGGTTCCACCACAATTAGTTACATATAGTTACATGTCATAATAGTGTTCGTTTTTACTGCAATAAAATACACATATTTGTGTTCAGCGAGATCTCACGAGTACAACAGTCCCCCCTCCATGTACAAGTGTTAATGGGTTTAGAAAGTTACAGGGTTAAATTTGGGGGTTTCCCTTTACAGTTTATACGCATTAAAAATTGCCAGATTGGTTTGCCTGGCCCATGTTGCCTATGATGTTGTATGGCAGCCCAGGAATACAAATTACCCCAATTTTGGCATACCATATGTAAAAGTAGACAAACCAGGGTATTCAAAATGAGGCATGTCCACTCTGAACACAGTGTCATCACAATCGCATGACTTGGATCTGCGGGATGGACTTGAGGGGAACTGCCTTGGTTGTTAGGCAGCCCCCCAGATCAGGCGAGGAGGGTGATAATTTCTGCTGCAAAGGTGTATGAGCTATGACACACTCATGTTTTGGTGACTGGAGTTGTAATCCAACAGCAGCACAAAAGCCATTTCCATACTTAACCATTAACCAAACCAGTGATACTGATACTTAGAAATTCGAAATATTCTTTTGACTTCTGTAAAAAAAAGAGTTACATATTTATAAAAATTAAAAGATTGAATATGAAAAGCTACACTTCCCACCAGTACACTCTTACGCGTTATAAATTATGGATGGGCAATTAGCAGAGTCAACATACCAGCCCTCCAAGGACAGGCTTTCATGAGTTATCATGTTAAAAAACTAAAGTTTCCCAAAAACCTTAAACATTAAACCAGAAACGCTTCAAAATACCCACATGGAAAGAAGCTGAATTCAATTAAAGAAAATCCATACTGACTGAAATGCCATTAATTCTGCTAGTGGCGTCTATCTGTGACAGTATGTGGTATCTACAGCTCCTGCTGCCATACAGCAATTAGGTGACAAGAGAGATTGTGTTAATGGGCAATTTCAGTAAGCAAACATTGGCAAGAGAGTGTCACTGATGAGGCAAGCTCCTGTTTACTTAAATGTCTTGTTTTAAACCCATGCTAACAGAGTATTGCATAGGGTCTAGCTAGAATCTCTCAGCTTAGTGTTTTATTTCCCTCTTACTGCCCTCACATTAAAGGTGCTATGGGATGAGAGACTTTACAGCTGTAGTGGCAAACATGTTTACAATACAGTAAAGGGAACCCCCCTGTTGACTCTTTGTATATGCTGTCACTTGCTTTCTTTACTTAATCTCCGAATTAGAGCTTGAGTTACACTGAATTGCAAATGTGGTTACTTTTTAATCGTTCTGTAAATGTTATAAACTTAATTTAAAGTGCCTGGTTCATTTATTAAGATTTTTTTCAAGAATACACACACATACACACACATGTTTGTGGGTTTCTGGAAGAACATGTGGTCCCTTTCCTGTAAGGAATTTCTAAATTGCCCCTTAAATACCATGCATTGATGTTTATGATAATGGAAGCGCCGATTTGCATACCGCACTGCTATGTCATTTGTTTATAATCTAGCAGCAAGCACAGCTCTCCCACTCACAGGATATGACTGTCGCAGTAAACTACACAAGAAGTTTAGATTATGTTAAGAATATTGAATGATGTTGCGACACATCTGCATATTAGCACTCAAGATCATACATAGGCCACATGGAAGATAGGGATTATGAATGGAATGCTCTACCTGAGCAGATATGAATGCCACCAATCCATATTTGATTCCTTTTGATTACCCTGAACTTTTTTTTTTTGTTCAATAATTGTACAGACAGTTTTGTCTCAGTGTTGCTCCCTTTCATGTACCTGCAGGAGGACCTGGGTAAGAGGAAGAACATTGACAACAGTTGTGCTTTAGGCAATTGCTTATTCTGTATTGCAGAAGAGATGATCCAAAGTTGATCTAATGTTGAAAGGATAAATATAGTGCTTTGTAATGCAAACTAGATTTACAGCTTTGGTACAGATCATATATTTTCTGATTTTGTTCAGCAGCAGACCAATATGGCATGAATTATTCTCATATCTACTCACCATCACTACTTTTTAAAGTAAAATGCTTGCCTTTGTACCATAATTTACAAGTAGGGAGACCTCCAGGTTAATCATGGGGGTCTTAGTTCAATCACGGGAGTAGGCAGATTCATGTGTTTAGTGGTAAAGATTGATCTTTTCCTGTGCTGTCATGCATCTCGGCTCACTTTATGCTTCTGGAGGGTTCTCTTAATCCTGGCCCTCCAGATGTTGCTGAACTACAACTCCCACGGAACTACAACTCCCATGATTCTATGGCTATTTAATTCAAAGAATTGTGGGTCTTGCAGTTCAGCAATATCCTGGAGGGCCAGAGTTTGTGGAAACCTGCCTTAGAACATTAAAGGCATCTCACTCCCAGTTGCATACTTATACTGAAGACCAAGGACTATGTCACTATATGATAACGATCTCTTTTGGTGCCTTGATAAAGATATGTTAAAGATTGGTTTAAGTACAAAAGAACCACCACTAAGTTGTTTGTGCTTAGGGTCTAATTATAGCTACACCATGTAGAATTAGGCCATTGGACATATTAGAGTTCTATCATCTACAGTGAGTTATCTCATTATTAACAGACCATGATGCAAAGATGTAATGCCGTATCTGAGATCTTTGTACATAGCA